AAATCACATTGGTACGGCGGGATTCGAACCCAAAGACCGGTAAATTACAAGTCAAGTGCTTAAACCACTGAGCCATCGACGCTCTTTTAGAAAATATAATAAACAATAAATAACATTTTTTGACCGACTTCCCAAAAGAAGGAGGTACTCAATTCGTCTGTATGTTTTTTTTTATGTGTGTTACGGCATAACTCCGCCGCTAGTGGACCGATTTTGATAATTCTTTTTATATCCGAAAGGCAATGCTTGCAGGTGGGTCCCATTTTTTTGGTTGATTTTTGGAGTCAAAAACTGCGACGTAGTTAAATAGTTTAGCTCAAAATCGCGCGACGAAATTTCGGGTCATTTTTGCTTTCTTTGCTTACGTAGCCTAAACTATAAGACCTATATAAAATTGATGTATGGAAGAATTGTAGCCCTTTAAATTTGCTAAATAAAAGTCCGCGATAGCATATATCTATCTCTTAAGGTTGTCGCACAATAACCGTTTGTTTCGGCGAAAACCGTCAAATAAATGCAATCGACTTCATTTAAAACGCTTTTATTCTTATTTGGTATGAATCCTTATCCAAATAAATATGTTTTTGATAGGGCAGCGATACCATTTAAAAATTGTGAAGTGTTTTTAAGACTTACCATATTTAAACATCATGAGATAATCAACGATCTGTGTGGGCAGCGCGCGGCTGTCGGCGGCCCACACCACCGCCTCTGTTATAGACCCGTCCTGGAAGCGACGTAACTCAGACTTCTCTCCCCAGAATGACCTAGGAATAACACAAATACCAACATAACACGAGTAGTTGGTATGTTTAGGAATAGAGTCATCTTATGGCCTAGTCACTCCTTATTAGGGTAGGCTCCGGGCACCTCGGTGAGGACTTATGACTGGTGATGATGATGAAAGTCAACTTAAAAGCATCATATTTTGACCAATAAGTGGCAATTGCAACTTAATATCACAATTTTTATAATTTTTAAATAGTTGGGTGCTATGATTCTATAAGATTTATAATCCACTAGCTGTTACCGTGCGGCTTCATCCGCATGAAATTGTGAAAATTTTATTTTATTGTTTACATTTAAATTACATTGCAAATGTCAAAATGACATCACATGACGTGACAAACCTTAGCAATCTTTTTTTTTGATATTGGCAGCAACTTATGGTCACATTAGGGTTTTTATCCAAAATAAAGTTTAACGGCGTGAAAATATATAGCCTAAAGCATGACGTAAGTGCAAGGCTTTTTATTAAAAAAAGAATTGTTCAAAAATATGCTGTAATTGCTGACATCTTAGGCAACAAAGAACTGTGTGCTTACGCTTTATTATAATAGTATAGATGGTTTAAGCTAGGTCTAGAAGGCTTCTAGCTTTCATTTGTTAACCAATTATTAACCATAACTGTTCTAAATTGTTTAAACAACCAATTAAAGAAAATAGTAAAATTTTGAATAGGAAAAAAGTTTACCTAAATTCCTCTGACTCAGGAAGGTTAGCGGGGGGACCTTTGTCTACTATTTTCATCACATTCTCCGAGTTAAGCACCAGACCAAATGATAACTTGTCTTCATGTCTGAAACAATCATACTTCATACTAATATTATAAATGCGAATGTTTAGATGGATGGATGTTTTTTAGAGCTTGTAGCGTTAACAGCTAAACGGATCTGGATAAAATTTGGTATAGATGTAGAGGATAGTTTAGAAGAACATATAGGCTACTCAATTTTGATTTTTTAAATACAATAAACTTTTGACCGCAACTCCATCCACAAGAAATAAAAAAAATGGTAAGTAGCCTATGTGTTCTTCTAGACTGTTCTATCTATGTCAAATTTCAACAATTCCCATAAACATCTATTCATCCAAAGAGGCACATTTATAATAGTAAAAGTAATTTTTCTCCATACATACTTGAGTTTGACTTTATCCACACTCTTGTAAACACTCCATGAGAGATCAGCTTGTAGTAACTGCAGCACCAGCTCAGCTCTGTCTCCCAGTCCTCGGCTGAGCACAGAGTGTACAGTTTCCGTCACTAATGCTAGTTGCTGCACACCATAGTTCACTTGAGAAGACCTTGACAGTTTGTTATATACTTTCTCTTTGAGAGAAGCGAGGTTTTTGAATCTGGAATAAAAAAAATCTCCATTTGTACATAAACTGCTGTCAAATAATGTCGGTAGCTATGTGTTCTTCCAGACTTTATCTACATCTGTGAGAAATTGAACAATAACTGTTAAGAAGAGAGAGAGAGAGAGAACAATAACTGTTAAGAGAGAGAGAGAGAACAATAACTGTTAAGTTTTAGATGCATACTAGCTGTTCCCATGCGACTTCATCCGCATAAAATTATGAAAATTTTATTGTTTACATTTGTCAAATTATGAATTACAAATGTCAAAATGACAAACCTTGGCAATCTTGCTCCCTTGTTGTTGGCAGCAACTTAAGGACTCTTTCCCACATTAGGGTTTTTATCCAAAGTATTTATCCCTTAAGTATAATGGCGCGAAAATACATAGCCTAAAGCGTAATGTAAGTGTAGAGCTTTTTATTAAAAAAAAATATTTATTCAAAAATGTAATAGCTGACATCTTAGGCAATAAAGAAGTGTGTGTTTACGCTTTATTATAATAGTATAGAAGTACAGATAACATACCTTATAATATGATCAAACTTCAACAACTCATGAGTCGGAGTCATAAACAATGGTATAAAGCTATTTATATTTGGATTGTCCAACATTTCTATAGCATATGAACTTTCCCTCTTCAACGCATTATACGTGCCTTTGTGCATATCCCAACATATGTTATAATATCCTGATTTATCAATAAACACTACTGGAAAACTGGAATGGAATTCCTCTATTGTAGGTACAGTTGCTGTACCTTTGAACAATGATATCCCTTTTGTATCCAACTCTGATGATTCTAAAAACAAAAACATTTATAATAAGGAATGGTAAGGAGATTTGATGAAGGGGGCATAAGCATCCTCGTGTTTATGTCACTTACTCTAACAATTACTAATGCAATAGTCAAAATGGATGATTATGGGTAGATGTCACTTCAATATTTTAACAGAAGGCCACTTGTTTGCTTCCTCATATTACAAAAAAATAGGTAAATCAGAAAAAAGTAATAAACTAAAGAGCCAAGTGTCTTCTAGAGATATAATACAATAAATAGTAAATTAGGAATTAAAAAAAGGAAAACAATCCATCTTTCTATGAAATTCGATGTCATTTGCCTACACATTTTTATTTGAAGAACCGAAGAGAGAATGACTGGTTAATTTTCGAGTCTATACTGTAATTATATCCTTAAGAAAATAATGAAAAAAGTTGTACTTACTAAGAAATATCCAGACATTCCGTATAATCTGATAACTACTCATAATATTATTTATTCTCTTTATCTGCACAAGATATGCAACAAACATGCTGATTAAAAAACCAGATACTTGCAGTTTTCTCTGTCGGAGCCAGATCTTTAAGAGTACTACCGCTTGCTTTAAATTTTCACGATTCAGAAACATTTCATTTAAAAATTCATGATTTAATGCATTTGTTAAATCAATTAAAATGCCACTATTATAATAAGGTGTGGGAGGAGGAGTTGTTTCAACTTTTTCATCAAATAACCAAGATTCTCTCAAATTATTACGTAAAGGACTGAACCTGTGTAGTTTGTACGCTTCAGGGTTACAGGATAAGTTTACACGGACTAATATGTTGTTTAATTTGCCGTTCGGCTTGATTTCTAGCATCGGTTTAGTATGACAATCATTTACGTAGATGTATTTAAGTTCCTCTATAACTTCGAGATCTTTCAAATGAGATGCAATACTTGCTAAGTATGCTGCACGTTTTTTATGATATCTGTAATTTATTGAGTCATTTTTAGTGTAAGTCTCCGCTGGTACTGTAATCTGTGTGTCAATTATTAATTTGGAATTAATAGAGTTGCCCAAAGCGTAAGAACCGACAATCTCTATATCTTGAAATTTATGAAATTTGAACATACATTTTGTTTTACTTAATTCCTTCCCTATCGGTGATTTTACACCTAAATGCTTGTAAATTTTGTCCTCACTCAAATCGTATTCAGTGTCATCCTCAGGTATTGTTTTTAAATGTTCTTTTAGTGCATTGAACCATTCTTGGAACCTTTTTATTGTTTTATCTTTAATTTTAACTTCATTAAGTACTTCGTCTATTTGAAGACGGAATAAATTGGAATTGAATAAGTTCTCTGTTTCTTGTAAGCGATTTAATTCCTCGACAGTTGGTTGTCTGTACAAACCTCTGATTCTTTTCGTTTTATTATCTTTAGTGTTAGTGTCCAACGATCTTTTGCCATTTTCGTTTGTTATTGACTCATTTTCTGAAATCGAACTAGTCTTATCCTGAAATAATAACACTTTTAATTAAAACAATGTATAAATATAAACCTCGTGTGAATAAATATTGTTTCTAAGCATGATTTAATTAAATCTTTTGAAATAAATATGTAAATCTTCAGAGGTAAGATTGCAAAATAAGTTATGTAAAAACATACCCTTTTAACCATCTTCAATTTCGATAAAATATCACATTTAATTCGACATAAGTATGTAAAAATTGGTTATAAAATTAAAAACAACGTGCGCTCACAATGTTTTGATCGCAGTTGTCAATGTCAAAGTTAAAGCATGCTCAAAGTGTCAAAGATGACATTTTTGACCGAAAATAAGTTTTAGCGCCTTAAACGTTTTGAAACATTCGTTTGGGATTTGCAATACTTCGACGATAAAATTAACTGTTTTAAGTAAAACTGTTGCCCTTTCTTAGTTTTATTGTAGCAGATGGTTTCAATATTTTAGAATTACAAACTGTAAGGAATCAAACTGGATTGGATTGTAGAAATCACTTGTTAAAAAAAACCATTGAATATCTTTATTCACATACAGAATCATTTGGTTAAAATAAAATACACAATATGATGTTGAATTTTTTATTGTTAAACATAAAATTATGACAATAAATATATCAATTTCAGATTCAGATCAGACAACTTTTCAATTGTAAAACGATGAATATTTTCACACTGTATACTTAACGTATGCGATATAAAAATGGTAAGATGGCAATGAATAATAAATAAAGGTAGTTAAATATGAACTACATAATACTTTGGTATTCTGTACATTAAATTTTATCTACAATTTGCTAAATTCGAGTTTGAATTACAATAATATAGTCATCAAATCTCACGATCACAATATTTACTTCTTATGAAGTCAAGTTTTGCAAGGTCAAAACGCAGCATACAGATAAAAAATTAATTTAGTTTCGAGATGATGGCGTTAGTGTACTCGCTGCATTTCCCTGTGCCGCCCAGGTCTCCGGTGAGGGACTTGCCTTCGCGGAGTACCTCGTAGCAGGCGTTCTGGACGCGGTCCGCGTGCTCGTTCAGTTGCAGGTGTCGCAGCATCATGATGGCGGACAGCAACAGGGCTGTAGGATTCGCCATGTCCTTGCCCGCGATGTCGGGAGCTGTGCCGTGCACCTAATACAGATTAAAAAGCGTTCAAATTAACCGATAACATAAATGTTTATAAGACTACTTCTAAGTATTACCATTATTAATGTATGGTCTTATTTTAAGTATCTATTTTACATTTTTAAATCATTAAGGGCGCATCTGTCGGGCTCTGTGTAATTTATTTGGGAGGACGCAAAGGAATTAAAGACAAGTAACGTATCTATGGGCAGCTGTCACTTCGCTATTTTGGGGAATACATGTGACCGCTTGCTAGCCTTCTATTATCGCAACAAAAGTGTCGCTTTAGTAATAAAAATATATTCAAGTTGTATCCAAACACTAACCTTTGATCCGCGTCTGAAATCATCGCTAAATGAACTTCAAAAAGGTTTTAAAAATAATAAGACGTATATTTTCAATCTATTTATTTGTCAATAAGTACACTAAACTAAAGGTTGCATTGTATCTATTCATTAGCTAGTCAATAAATAAGATGTTATAACCTATAGCTCATTTTTCAGATTTCATCTGATTTTTTTAATCTTAAAAAGAATATTTCACAATCAATGGCCAAAGGGCTGCCATCCAAATCATTGCAAAACAAATAAAAGCATGATTAATACCATAGACAATTGTAAACACAATCACAAAACAAGGAACTCAAATATCTACTAATTACAAACAAATCTTCTACATGTATCACTTAAATTATCACAAACACACTTAATATGAATAAAACTGTAAAACTCTTTTAGCGCCATTTTTATTGAAAAAGACCATCGTCACTCTGCCAAATTAAAATCGAGAATAAAAAGTACATGTGCCATTTTTAAAATAACCAAAAAGATTTTATAGCCTTCATTAAATATTCAAATTAAGTCACTCAGTAAGTATAATAAAATGGTAACACTATAATACTTGCGATAACTTAAAACATGGTAACACTTAATGCAAAAGTTCACACTAGTGGATATTTGATCAAGAAAATATTTCACTTGTACAAAATGAAATTTACAACAATTAAAACTGTTGAAAAAATTAATTTCTTAAAACAAAATCACGCATTTTTATTTTTAATTTCTTTTTTGCACCTGGCAACAATTCGCTTTCAAACATTTTGTACAAGTTCATCACAATGTCTGCTAATTAAATAACTAAACCGCAACAATCAGACCTTTTCTTCAATTTTAATACTTTTTTAACACACAAAATAAATACAATACTGTAAGGATGTGTCAAAAGATCAGAAACGTCAAAATTGTTGTCACAAGTGTATTATCTCTTTCTTTCACAAAGAGAATGAGCGGGACAGATATAGTCTTGTTCAAGTGAAATAGACTCGCAGTGCGATAGTTTTAGGTTACTTTTCCTCCATATTTGATTTTATTAACAAATTTCATTATTTACCTTACTTTAAACACTATGTATATAATCTCAATAAATACCAGTTTAAGAAATGTCGACGCACATCGAATCTTTGGCGTGTTCTTGTACAAAACTTAGGAAATGCATTAAATACTGTCAGTTTAAACCACTGTGGAGTTAACGTAAATGTAAAATTCATCAAATTGACAAATAAACTTCATATATCAATCAAATCAGATCAATATACAAAAGTCATATATCACAATTTAATTTAATAAATTTCAAATGATATACAACCATTTCCAACCAAAGTCATAAAAATGTACTAAATTGTACAATACCTTCCGCGGAGTTCAAAGAATTTCGTACATTATCACCCATCTCTTTCACTCCCGTGTGAATGTTATGCGTCTCGCTCGCACAAAGAATACAGAGATTGTAAACCTTTTACTTGTGAAATTAACATTTTATGTCTGGTTTTTAGTGTAATTAAAATTGGAACTTTTTAAAATAACTTACAAATAATGATAGTAATTTTAGATTAACAACTTGATATTATTGAAATTCGAAATCCTCTAAAAAAACTATTTAGACATAGAAGTATTAAATTAAGTTTTTTTAATTTGCACTTAACATTGATTTTTACGGAGATTTATGTAGAAAAAACAGATTTTTTTAGTAGACATATTTTTGTAGTTATAAGTGTATTTAGTAGTACAGAAGAAAATGTTTTTTTTTTATTAGACCGTCACACTATCAAATTTAGAGCCAAACAAAAATGTTTACCACCTCTGTAGGTATACGAAATTCCTCTACATCCAAACTAACTCCACAGTAATTTTTCAATGTAGATTCTTGATGATTTCGTTGGTATAATCAGTGCAGGTGCTCTTCCCGCCCAGGTCCTCGGTGAGGACGCGGCCCTCCTTGAGCACAGTGAAGCAGGCCCTCTCGATGGAGTCGGCGTGCTGGTACATGTGGAGATGTCGCAGCATCATGACGGCGGAGAGGAGCAACGCTGTAGGATTAGCCTTGTCTTGTCCGGCGATGGCGGGCGCGGTGCCGTGCACCTTCACAAGTTAGTCGAAAACCAAAGTTAAGGGATGTGTTTGTTAATTATGAATTATGGTTGGAAAACCCTTAATCAAACGAGCCTTGATATTAACATAATAAACAGAAAATTTGTATTTTTGCATGTATTGAAATAACTTTAAAACTACTGGGCCGATGTTAAAGTTCTTTCACAATTAAAAAGCTACTTTATCTGCGAGTATCACTATTTAATTATTTTTTTAATTTGTAGACGAATTCGCGAGCAACAGCTAGTTTGATATAATTGCAAACTGATGACAATTTTATGTAGAATCCATAGATTGCGAAACAAACTCAGTTTTTAAAAAAAGAGGGGCATTTTTTGCATATGTTGGTACTGATTAGAGTTACCATTAAAAAAAAGTTTTACGGATATGCCCAATAAGAAATAATTGCTCAATATTTGATTAAGGGTTAACTGTAAATGGGCGAAACATTCGACATTGCAAGATATATAATAAACAAATATTGTGTCATGCAATTTTTTTTGAATTGAATACTTAAGTTTACTCAATAAGTTATTTTTGACCGACTTCCCAAAAGAAGGAGGTACTCAATTCGTCTGTATGTTTTTTTTTTATTTTTTTAATAGCACAAGACAATGACAAAGATGTGAGTTTCATATGTAAGACATCACAAAAATATTACTGAATTGTATATTTAAAAAAATCAAATTAGTACTGAACTAACACAAAACAGTGACACTTGCAGTTTTAATAAAACCAAGGTTAAGTTACATTCAAGTTAGGACCATGCAGTTAAGTTACCAACACCAGTTAGTGGCACACTTAGTAACATCAGAGCTAACTTACTTTGTCCGAATATATCACTTTCACTGAATTAATTTAAATATTTTGTATCCAATATTTTTTTTTATGGATCACAATATCTTAAATTATCTAAAATCCGCTAAAATCACTGAAATATTGTCATTTCATAAAAAGATTAAATCGAAAGAAAACTTTACTAGATTTTCTTGCGTATAGTATATTTAAAAAAAACTAGTAACAATATTATGAATAATAAATAATTTGAGATACCTTTTTATTAAAAATTGATTATTTTTTCATCTACATTTTGACTATTGGACGAAGAAAGAATTTAATAGCGAAATTTAAAATTTGTGTCTTCCCTTAATTTTAAGTCAATTTATAAGAGAATATTTGTATGTATGGAGTGTGTATGGAGTTTTTATACTCACAGATTCGAAGAGTGCGCCGTTCTTGCCGATGTTACCCGAAGGCGTGAGTCCGAGCCCGCCGACGAGACCCGAACACATGTCCGACATTATGTCACCGTACAGATTGGGCATCACCTAGAACACAAAAAAAAAAATCATTACTAAGGTACACCTTAGTGTTAGATTTTTAACTATTTTGATGTATTCTGTACTCTTGAAGGTTATTTAGTCTGTGCTATAAATCAATACCATTTGTCATAATTTGAAATAACTATATAAGCTTTGTAATTGTGATCCTAAACATTATTTAAAATATTTATGTCATGGTTTTAAAATGTCGTAATTGTGCTTGTTATATTAATAATCGGATAGTAGTCGGATGTCAAAAATAAAGGTTGCATTAGCTCGACGACACGACGGCCATATTGGTAAGGTTATTCTGTGCAAATTGGAAGAAAACGTAAGAGGTAGTGAAGATCATATTTTATTAAAGCATAACATAGCTGTGACGCCCATATTAGTGTATATTCTACATTTAAGGACTCTCGAACTTTATAACTCAAAGAGTGACATAGAAAAAATGTAAATAAATAAAAAAATCTTGAGGATCTCAGTAATGTTATAAATGCCAAAGTTTGGATGGATGGATGTTGGTTTATACAACTTCAGAATGGCTGCATAGACATAAATGAAATTTGGTATAGATATAGAATACAGTACGAAGGAACATATAGGCATATAGGGTAGGCATAGCTTTCGCCCGCGACCCCGTCTGTGGGGATTTACAAAAAAACAAAAGTGAATAGACTATATGTTCTTCCAGACTATTATCTACATGTATACCAAATTCCATCCAAACTAAGCCGTTTAGATTACAAACTCAACATCCATCCATCCATCAACATTTTCGCATTTATAATATTAACATGATCAAATTCATATCAGCAATTTAATATTTTGACTGAGACGTTAAAAAAAAACACTTACTATTTTAACCTCGAATAAAAAAAATCATCGCAGAAGACAGTTAATATTATATAGAATCGCACAAAGACTGAATTATTGGTTAGTTTTTGACCTACTTACAAAAAAAGGAGGTACTCAATTCATCTGTATGTTTTTTTTTGTTTGATTATCTCACCATTTTTTATTTTATTTATTACTCTATCTCCTTTACTCTTACAGCTATAAGTCCATCTCACTCACCAGCACATCAAACTTGGAGGGGTCTTGCACCATGTTAAGACAGACGGTGTCGAGGTAGCGCTCCTCAAACTTGATATCAGGGTACTTGGTGGCCAGGTCGCGGCAACACCGCAAGAACAGACCGTCTGACATACGCCTATATATATAAATATTAATTAAAAAAACAACTTATGTAGGAATAACACTCAGAGGAATACACCTTATTTGTCAAATACAACAATGGAATAATAGAACGCACTTTTGAGACTAAACTATCGCACAACTGATTCCCATAAGCTTATCCTTTCGAATGTGAACTGTCAAAATGTCAAAATCAGCGCATCTGTGGGTCCCAATACAGGACGCTCTCACAGAGAGATTTGAGCACTAATTTTTGAGACTTAGGTCTGGAAAAACCATTTCATTTCAAAATCTAGTTAAATCTTATGAAAACCACAGTTTATTTTCACTAAAACTTTATTTTATTTATTCATTTTCAATTTAAATTTTAATTATTTTCACTCAAAACTAAACACTGTCAACGCAGTGTGTAATCGTCCCGAAACAGGACGCCCCACGGACAAGAAAAAAATTCAAGCGTCACAAATTGGGACGCTCCACACACGAGAGATTATATTACACACTACTCAATTTTTAGTTGTACCTAAACAGTTGAATTGACTGCGAAACAATCGACAATCGAACAAGTTGTGCGATACTTTAGTCAAAAGAGAACCCACTCTAAACAATATTGAAAATAGAATAAAATCCAATTGAAATAATGCATTTTAATTTTCATATTTCTGTGGCTGACAATGTCAATTGCCTATACATAAAGAAACGTTTTAGTATTTTTATCTATACTATTATAATAAAGCGTAAACACACACTTCTTTGTTGCCTAAGATGTCAGCAATAACAGCATATTTTTGAATAATACTTTTTGTAATAAAAAGCTTTAGGGTATATTTGTTCACGACATTAAACATAGGGGGTAAATATTTTGGATAAGAACACTAATGTGGGAAAGAGACCATAAGAGACCAACATCAAGGAAGCAAGACTGTCAAGGTTTGTCATGTCATTTTGACATTTGCTTTGATAATTTGACAAATGTAGACAGTAAAACCAAATTTTCACAATTTCATCCAGATGAAGCCGCACGGGAACAGCTAGTTAACAAAAACATTATTTTTATTAAGTCTATGTCCTTATATAAAATTATTTAGATATGTTAATGTCTTATTTCAATTGAATTCGACCATAAGTATCTTTGTGTCATTGTTGACTAATATAAAAAAAAAACAAGACATATATGGTAGTCTAGTGACATCAAGATAACTAGTACAGCGGGAACTGACACCTATTTATTAACACCAATAAAGCAGTATCCAGTTGACACGAAACGCGTCTAATTCACGCTCCGCTAATAATACCAAGGTAAATTGTTACATAACATACATATAGAAACATGGATATATCTTCCTATCTTCAAACATTCGTTCTGAAGGAAAACATCATGTTTCAACCCATATATGTAAAGAAATTCAGATGTATGTCAACCTGCATTAGGCCAGCACGATTGTCTTCGGAATACCCACAACGCCAATAGCCTAATGGTTTGAAGTACGGACTATCGATCGTGCAGTCGAGGATTCGAATCCCGGCATTCGACTGTCGTGAACCATATCCTAGCACAATAGAGCTTAGTTTGAATTCTTAAAGGAAACATTAGTAAATTAACAAAAATATACTAATATTTTCTAAAAAAAAGATAGTTTCCAGTAAAATACCAAAGATAACTTCTAATGAATTCAACTAAATAGTTTCGTTTGGTAAGCAGTTTAGTGACGCGTAAGGTGGTACTCACCTAAAAATATTGAACTTGACTAAATGAATTGCTATTTGACTAAATTTTAGTTGTTCAGACACATTTATTTACTGGTCTGTTTGTTTTTGGTCTGTACAGTTTATGGTCCCTTTCCAACATGACGGTTTTTTTTAATTTATTTACCTCCTAAGCTTAATAGCGTGAAAATATATAACCTGAAGCGTGTCGTATGTGTAGGGCATATTATCTAAGAAAAAAATATTTAAAAACATGCAGTGATTGCTGACATCCTACGTAATTTAGTAGTGTGTTTACGCTTTATTACATTAATATAAAGATTTGAAACTACTTACATGATATTGGCCTTGTGTACAGCTGTGACCTTCTTCCTCTTGTTGTCCCTAGCGAACTGGAATGCGAATTCAGCGACTCGCTTGCTGGCTTCCTCCGTGATCAGTTTAATGGACTGCACCACTCCATCTACTATCTCATGCTCGATACCGGAGTACTCTCCTTCTGTATTCTCTCTGATTGTTACCACGTCAACGTTGTCATACAACGTCTTTATGCTGGGGACAAAGATTGTTTTATGTAATTCAACATAGCTTACTTGCATAAGTAATGTGTTAAGTTATTTCAATTAAGTTGTTACAGAAATAGAGATAGTATATTCCTTGTGTTTATATCTTACTGATATTATAAATGCGAAAGTATAGTTGGATGTTAGAGTTTGTAGGCTAAACTGCTGAATGGATTTCGATGCAATTTGGTATAGATGTAAGGGATAGTCTGGAGGAACACGTAAGCTACTTGTAGTTTTTTTTAATACCACGCAAACGGAGTCACGGGCGACAACTAGTTGTAATTGTTTGACAAGTAATTTAAAACTTCTTTAGTCTTTGTTACTAATATTAAGTAAAAGCAATACTAGTTTTAAGCAAATATAAAACTTAAACATCAACCCAATGAGGTAATAAATCAATCAAATCAGAATAAATCCATATCGTGTAAAAAGGGTAAACATAATCCGCGACTGAATCCATCAATCTGGATAAGACTGGCCAGTCGGAATTCCAGATAACTTCATCACAAGTTAGATAAATGCATAGATAACGAAAATTATATAAATAAAACAAATAAATCAAGATTTCGCAATAAGATAGGAAGAATATTCAAATTTATAACAAACAAGAAAATAAGCTTGTAAAATAACCATTAGAATACTACATGTGGAGGCCTCATTTAAGTCCCTTCCTCTTTACTACCCTTTTTATAAGGAGTGGATGTGAAGGGGAAGTGGATTTGACGGTGGAGGAGATGCATAATAAGGGGAAACATCCTCTTTATGTGCGTCTACTCCGTTTCATAAGGGTAGACATCTGCAATTGCGGATGTCTATGGGTAGCGGTCGCTTCGCCATTTTGTTGGATTCAAGTGACCGCTTGCTCGTTTGCCACCATATGTTTCTAAAAAATACATTATTCCTTAACTAGCTTTCGCCCGCAACTCCGTTTGCGTGGAATTATAAAAAAACAAAAGTCTATACATCTATACTAAATTTCATTAAAATCCGTTTAGACGTTTAGGCTATAAACTCTAACAAACATCCATCCATCCATCAAAATTTTCACATCTAATCTTGATGGCTGGATGGATGTTTGTTAGAGTTTGTAGCCTAAACGGCTGAACGGATCTGAATGAAATTTGGCATATTTGTAGAGCAGAGTATGGAAGAACACATACACATACTTTTATTTTTTTTAATACCACGCGGACGGAGTCGCGGGCGAAAACTAGTATTAACAAGAAATTGGGCCATAAAAATAATTTTAAAAAAAAGGCCACCCATATAAGGACGGGACTGTCTAGTTCCAAAATACAGAGATGGTTTTTTCTTATTTTAATAGTACTATATTTATACACGTTCTGAATATCATAATTTACTTGAATGACAAGCTTTATTGTTGATATAAAGTTATCATTTGGTGCACATCGCACATTCATTGCGATAAAATGCATGTAATTTATATAAATATTTACTTTATACACGTGCTAAATACATATTTACATTCGTGTGTGGTGCGGATATAAAAGAACGATAACCCATCCTTTTTGGAAACTCTGCCTACCCCTTCCTACGTAGTGAAGGTGTACTCATACATTAAGAACAGCCATTTAAATTTTTACCCTTATAGAGATCTTTGACACAATCCATACTATTTTCTTCAGTAATCTTCCTTTGTACACAAATTTCATACATTTGTAAAACTTCTTTGACTAAACTATAGCACAACTGTTCAGTCGCTCTGATTCCTACGAGCTTATACGGAGGTAACACTACTTCATTCAAACAGTGGTAGTCCCGCTTTAACATCTTAGCGGGAATGGGCCGGCACGCCCGGTGTAATACCACCACCATACAGAAGATAGCCGTGAAATGGAAGCAATTCCGTGTTTCGTCTGATAAGTGTGGTGCCGGAGGAATAATTTAAGTCCCTTTCTCTTTACCACCCATTTCTTACAAGGAGGGGATGGGAAGGGGAAGTGGATTTGACAGTGGAGGAGATGCATAGGAAGGGGAAATATCCTCTTTATGTGCGTCTCCTCCTCCGTCGGAAAAGGGTAGGCAACGCATCTGCAATTGCGGATGTCTATGGGCAGAGGTCGCTTCGCCATTTTGGCGTATTCAGGTGGCCGCTTGGTCGTTTGCCACCTTATGTTATATAAAAAAAAAATTAGTTGTGCAAACAGTTGAATTGGCTGCGAAACAATCGACAATCGCACAGAAGTTATGCGATTTAGTCAAACTATTGAGTTGCCTATTTCTTCTTACGGTATATAATTAGTTACACTGATAAGAATTCTGTTATCTAGAATAATGTAACCTAGTTATATATATAAAAATACTTTACATAGATCTTTTTTTGAAAGCCTGTAACTACAGAGTAAACTTTAATGACTGTGCTATCTAAAAGACATTAACAAATGTATAGTAGTTATCAAATATGTTAAAGGCTCGGAACATCTCCGTCGTTTTACAAAACACAATGTTAGTAACGGATGTGCATATGTCGATACGAAAGGTTACCTTACTCTTACTAATATTATAAATGCGAAAGTTTAGATGGATGGATGTTTGTTAGTGTTTGTAGCCTAAACGGCTGAATGGATCTCGATGAAATTTGGCATAGATGTATAAGATAGTCTGGAAGAACTCATAGGCTACTAGCTTTTGTTTTTTATTATTCTAGTCAAATAAAAATTAAGCCTTGATTTTCAAGCAGACGTTATTGACATTGACTTACTGATATTCCGATAGCGACATTATCAACAGGATAACAGAGCGCCGGGCACGTATTTGATAACACATCTACGTATGTTGATAACTAAAGAATGTTGAATGAGTAAAAGTTACGTTGTTTTATCATACAACTAGCTGTTCCCGTGCGACTTCATCCGCATGAAATTATGAAAAATTTATTTTATTATTTACATTTGTTAAATTATCAATTGCAAATGTCAAAATGACATGATATGATGACAATCTTGATTCCTTGATGGCTGCAACTTATGGTCTCTTTTCCATATTAGGGCTTTTATCCAAAACATTTACCCCCTAAGTTTAATGGCGTTAAAATATAGTCTAAAGCGTGACACAAGTGTAGGGTTTTTTATTAAAAAATAATTATTCAAAAACTTTGTTGCCTAAAATGCCTGACATGTTAGGCAACAAAGAAGTGTGTGTTTACGCTTTATTATAATATAATAGTATAGAAGTATAGATTACCCGGACGTGTATCTAGCGAGAATCGATAAGCAGGCAAATGACACTTGGTAATCTAATTAGTGATTCTAGGTTGAGTTGGTTACTAAAACTAGTATTTACAATAGAAACATTTCAGAGACTTGGCCAGGCTTGGGATTACGCCTCTGGCTGGGTCGCGGAAAATTGCGCGAGTGGGTATTCCGGCCACGTCTTTTCTTTTGGCCTGCGAGTCCCACATACCCCCCTGGAAATGGGGAGGATGCGTAAAGGCATTTACCCAGCGAGAAAAAAAAGGCTTGGGATTGCGCGTAGTAGAAATTTAGTATCTAAAACACGTATATTATTTACTAATCTACTTGACAAAATTTTTGTTCAGAGAAGGTAAGTTACTAAATTACTAGCCTGCTAAGAACTAGGCATTAGTTGAGAGCACAAATATGTGACGAACGTAGATTGCGAGCCGGTATAAAATTTGAAATGGACTATACTATGAAATTGTTTTAATTTATACATATTCCGTGAAATTGTAGTTTCCCATTCAGCAGACGGAATACGATAGCATATATCATGATAAGAGAATAATAAAAAAAATTATGTTGAGTCACATTTTGTTTAATTACGTCATTTTGATAAGGTTTTTCCCCAGGTTTTGACTGAATAAATTAACTTTTATTAAACCAACTACATATCGTTAATTCTGACAGTTTTCCCTTAACACGAATCTTTGGTTGTAACTGTCAATTTGAACTGAATGTACTCAAGTCCTTGATATTAATACTACATAACAAATACGCCATTTTGCCTAGATTTTTCCAGTAGTCAAACTATATCGTCTCTTTCATAATTAATAGTATACTATAGGGCATGTCCCAACAAATTGTAATTTGTCTGATAACAATCCAATGTGTAAAATGTCATGGAAATACCGGATTTTGTCCCTTATCTAATAGTGACATCATTTTTAAGATCTGAGCCTCTATCAGCCAGTGGTGGGACAGGCCCCAAAACTTTAAAATTACAACAAATTCTTGAAAACATGTGTAAAATCAATCTAGTAGTTTCTAAGTTTTTTTTAAGTCTACATTAAAACTATTATACAAATTTCAGAAATTATTTTACTATAACAGTCAAACCAACAGACTTGCATAGTATAAAACAAACCACTTATCTGATAAATCATAATTGATATAAAATAATCACAGCTATTGTAAAAGCTTATAAAATACCTTGACATATTATATGATAGTATATCAGACATACTTGTTAATTCATAAAAGTAAATAATAATAAACATCTACTCTAAATCATTCAATAATCTATACATATAATGAAATTGTGTTTTTTTTATAATAAAAGGGGGCAAACGAGCGGCGTGAACACCAAGGTGGTTAACAACTCCCATGGACATCCGCAACACCAGAGGAACTACAGATGCGTTACCAGCCTTTGAGGCAATGATAGACTCGCTTCTTGAAGGACCCTAAGTCATATTGGTTTGGAAATACCGTTGAGGACAGACCGTCAAAAGAAAAATTCCATTGACCGGACTTTCACTGCAGGATATCTGACATAGATGGCCATATTATTGGCTACTTTTTATCTTAATACTAGCTTTTGCCCGCGACTCCGTCCGCGTGGAAGTAAAAAAAGCCTTTGTATTCTTCCAGACTATCCTCCACATCTTGCGTTCACCCGTTTAGGCTACAAACTCGTAACAAACATCCATCCATCTAAACTTTTGCATTTATAATATTAGTATGATTGCATGGATGAAGTCGCAGGCAACATCTAGTCTTCACTAAAATTAAATGTTTCTACAAATATTAACACTTACCCATCTAAACTTTTACACGGTCTGACATTAGCGTAGAGGTCAAACTCCTTCCTGAGTGCCAAGTTCAAGGAACGGTATCCCTTG